ACCCTGACTGCCAACAGGTATCGGGATGATACCTATTGGAAGTCAGGCCCTGTCAGACGCTATGGTCGTTCAGTGGGTCCTGGTGCATGACAATGGCCTCATGTGGTGAGAGTATGCAAGTTGTTCCTGGAGGATGAAAGACGTGATACCACTGACTAGTCAGGCCCCTATGTTCACCAGACCTAATCCAACAGTATACCTCAGGTACTTGTAAAATGTACTACATTCAGTCCATCCAACCTTGTTAGATTGCACCTCCAACGGCCCAGGAGCTCACTGATGGCCTGGTCTTGATCTGGGAGGAGATCCCCCAGGACACTGTGCTTAATCTCATTAGGAACATGTCCTAATGTTGTTAGGCATACATACAAGCATGTGGGGGCCACACAAACTACCAAGTTTGAGTTGCTGCAAGGAAATGTCAGCAAAATGGACTAAACTGCGCACATTATTTTTTCACTCTGATTTCATTGGTTTCATTTCCAATGAATGTCCTTTCATTGCTAACACATTACCCAGTTCATATTAGTAGATTAGTAGATATGTAGCATGGTTTTTACTCCATTGGGATCCAATGTTTTCAAAGTGTTCCTTTAACTTTAAGCAGTGCATATATATACATATATAATGTGTGAGTATCTCTGTGTGTATAGTCATGAAGAAGAAAGTACATCCCCTTTCAATTTGAAGGCTTTATATAATTAGGTCATAAAAAAAACTTATCAGGTCTTAAAATTAGTGAAATCCATCTTAAGATGAACAACAACACAAGACGTACTGTTTCATTATTTACATTGTGCCTGTACATTGTGGTTTTGGCTGGTGGAAGTTGTTTCACTGTGCCTTCAGGTCAGGGAATGGGTTCGGTCGTTTGGCGCATAAGCACAAACAACAGTTCAGAGTACCCTTCATCTGGTGACTGAGATGTCCTACTGGGAAACTTCAATGATCAGGTCCACTAGTCCGTGATTGATTTTGTGACCCTATCATCAGATCTGTGGCTGTATGTTCTGGAAAATCAGGTGAAGTGAGGAGCTCAGCTGTCAACTGATCATCACCTGGTTTAATCAGGTGGCGGCGAAGGATGCTGGACAGAATTGTGAAGGTGTGCTGAAAACACCTGCCAGAAGCCCTGGTTCATGAGATCTTCGACTCTCACCTCCAGCCTTCCGAGGGACGAAGGAATGCTGCTGGAGGTTGTTGGAGGTTGCTCAACAACCTCCATTGTCGGGCATGCTGAAAGGGGCAAGGTGGTTGGTACCTGTTATGATGGTAATCCCCAAACCAGATGGTGGGTGCTGGAGATGAAGGGAGCGATCAAGCTGAAGAAGTCCTACAGGGCTTGTGTAGCCTTAGGGACTTTGGAAGCAGCTGACAGGTACCAGCAGAGCCACATACCTTTCAGCTGTTTTTGTGCTCGGGTGATAGATGAAGCAAAATCTTATGTGTGGGAGGAGTTCAGTGAGGCCATGGAAAAAGACTGCCTCAAAGTGGTTAGGAATCCTAAATTCCTAAAGGCCCTGGGTTGTCCTGGTTGACGCATTGCATGGAAATCTGCAGATGTGCCTCTGGGGGCTTTAAGAAGGTGGGCTAGAGTGTGTACTTCAACCACAGGGGGATCACACTCCTCAGCCTCTCTGGGAAGGTCTATAGTAGTGTAGTGGAAAGTTAATTAATTAGTCAAACCTCGGTTACAGGAGGAACAGTGCTGTTTTCGTACTGGTCGTGGAACACTGGACCAGCTCTTCATCCTCCTACGGATATTTCAGAGTGAGTGGGAGTTTGCCCAGCCAGTCTACATTTCTTTTGTGAACTTACTGGTTGATCTACATCCCTACCCTCACCTATGATCATGAGCTACGGGTAGTGACTATAAGAATGAGATCACGGATATACAGTGGTGTGAAGAACTGTTTGCCCCCTTCTTGAGCTCCTATTTTTTATACGTTTTTCACATTTAGATGTTTCAGATTATCAAACTGGCAATGAGCCACAGCATCTCAGTGGAATTCAGGTCAGGACTTTCATTAAGCCACTTTGTAAGTATTAAGAGGTGGACTTGCTGGTGTATTTTGGATCATTGTCATGCTGCAGAACCCAAGTGCACTTCAGCTTGGGGACACAAACATATGTCCGGACATTCTCCTTCAGGATGTTTTGGTAGACAACAGAATTCATGGTTCCATTTACACCACAAGTCTTCCGTCCTGAGGCAGCAAAACAGTCCTGGAACATCACACTACCATCACCATATTTTACTGTTGGTATGATTTTCTTTTCTGAAATGCTGTGTTACTTTTACACCAGATCTAACAGGACACACACCTTCTAAAAAGTTAAACTTTTGTCTCATCAGTCAGTCCCCAGACTATTTTCCCAAAGGTCTTGGGTATCATCAAGATGTTTTCAGGCAAAACTGAGACAAGCCTTTATGTTCCTTTTACCAGCAGTGGATTTGTCTTGGAACTCTGCCATGAAGGCCATTTTTGCCCAGTCTCTTTCTTATGATGGAGTCATGAACACAAACTGAGGCAAATGAGGCCTACAGCTCTTTGGATGTTGTTCTGGGGTCTTTGTCACCTCTTAGATGAGTTGTTGCTGCGGTCTTGGGTTACCTTTGGTCGGCTGGTCACTCCTGAGAAGGTTTGCCACTGTTCCTTGTTTTCGCTATCTGTCAATAATGGCTCTCACTGTGGTTCGTTCAAGTCCTACAGGTTTAAGAAATGGCTTTTCCTTTTCCAGACTGAGAGATCTTAATTACTTTTTTTGTCACCTGTTCCTACATTTCCTTGGATGGCAGCATGATATCTGGTTTTGAGGATCTTTTGGTGTACTCTACTTTGTCAGGGAGGTCTTATTTATGTGATTTCTTGATTGGAAACAGGTGTGACAGTAGTAAGGCCTGGTTTTGGCTAGAGAAATCAAACTCAGCTTTTCAACGATGTGATACACCACAGTAAATTTATGTTAGAACTAAGAGCATCTTTAGGATTAAGGGTAATTAGCAGCCAGGTGCTGCTAAGGCAGTGTAATTTATTAACTGATCATTGTCAAATATGACTACAAAAGCTGAAGTTTTGGCAGTTTGCTTGTTGGGAGATTTCATATCTGTATTAACACAGTGCCAAAGAGAAAACATCAGTGGAAACAGCGGTGACAGAGACTATTCGCAAGTGGGAAACGCTCAAAATAGTTGCCAATTTTTTAAGGAGTGGATGTTCATATAGTACAAACAAATTCAGGCACAAAAAATTCATGAATCACTGATTTCTGAATACACACTGTTGTAAATGAGGCCGAATGTTTTTAAGGCATGCAAGGCCAAACTGGAGATGTCAGTCCATAATGCACACCTGGCGAAACCAAACAACATATCGACACAAACGCTTCATACCAACTACTATAGGCACAGTGGTGAAGGGGCAGCCACAGGACCAGCGCACCTTGCTGACAACATGAACTCCTCTGTATACCACCATTCTCGAGTCAAATATTTGGGAGGCCTTCTGTTCGACAGCCCAAACAGGGCCAATGCAACGGGTTAATGAGTAATGTACATTAGCAAATCTACAAGAGAACAGCTAAAAAACAAAACTATCAAGGTTTTGCAATGGCCCAGTCAAAGTCCAGAATCCATTCTGATTGAATTGCCATGGCTGGACTTTTCTGGATATTTCTTGTCAGTTATTGCAGATCCAATAATCACACGCTGCTTCTGCATTTTGTCTTAAAGTGTGTTAAATAAATGACATCATTCAATATGCCATGTGTTGTTTATTTAATCATTTTAGAACCTGATAAGGACAATTATGATCTTTGCATTCAAAGGGGGCGTACTTTCTTTTTAACAACTATATACATGTAACCTTTTTAAAATATTATATCAGAACTGTGAGGTGAAAAAAACAAGTAAGAGAATTGAAAGGTTTGTTTACCACATGACTAAAATGAAATTAACCCTATCCCTAATTGCTGGGTGACCTGGTGAATGTTAATGTTTAAAACCCAAACTGGAAAGCTGCAGACCAAAGCAGGGAGCTGAACGATGCTTTAACACATGTTGAGCTGAAAGCAGCGGCATTGTTTGTGTTAAATTACTGATAAAAGTCTGTAGGTTTATGATGACCCGTGACACCTTTCACTAGACATACAATACCTTATTCTAAAATCTTAAAGTGTGCAACTTTAATAGAGGTCTAGTCTACAATTTTATTTGGTATCTGGTTAGACATAGTCAATCTATTCATTGCAGCCCTGAATGCCAGAAACAGACAGAAACTGTGGCTGAGAACACAGAGGGGAGTTGTACAATTCACAACAATTAACAACCAGCACAATACAATCTCCAGTACTGAGACACAACAATCAGCTGACATAAGTTTAACTGTAAGATTCGGGGGTGTGGGTGGCAGATGGAGGTGTGCTGTGCTGGGGGGACTACTAGTCATTTTCTAATTTTCACAATGTGCCAGACACTGTACAAATCATGAGGGGGAGCCATAGATCAGCAGGTTGTGGCAGGAAGACTGTGATTCCACCACAAAATCGAGACAAGACTTCCGCCTTGTCTTGATTTTCTTTTCTTTTAAAATGTATTTATTTATTTTTTAATTCTAAAACTCTTCATCAAAGTATCATAATGAGTTTGCTTATTGTTAAAAAGAATGACAAGATACATTTTACCTTAAAATTACAAGGGGAGTAATATTTATGTATCTTCAATACAGATCTTCTACAAAGATCAGTTACAGACCCAGAGGTATTATAAAAAGCACCAAGAAGACTTTGGTAATAACTGGCTACCTCTAGAATAGTTGAAGCAAAAAAAGTTGCTTCAAGCACTGAGCAGGTTTAGGACATCCTTAGAGGTCCACACTCAGGACCTGGACAGAACTGACACAACATGTGTGTGTGCGTGCGTGCATGTGTGTGTGTATGTGTAAGAGAGAGAGTGAGAGAGGCCAACCAACACACAAGAAAATGGCAGAAGGCATAATTACCACGCTCATGAGTGATGACTGAGGGAGGAAAGAAAGTGCAGTAAACCAAAATAAGAACAGGAAAACAGGGGGAAGAAAGAAACAGAGAAAGAAAGTAAGAAAGAAAGTAAGAAACAAAGGAAAAGATTACATATAGGGAAAAGAGCGCTTTTTTCGTCATGTGGAATAAAAAAATATGTATTAAAAGAAAACCTAAAATATATAAAAATATACCACCAGAACCTTTTTTATTTGCTTTTGTCATCAATGATATGCATTTACAGTACTATGTAAAAGTCCTGAGGGACAAAGACAGGCAAAAACAGTTTGTACAGTGTTAATCATTTTGAAAGTCAACATTTGGTATGACTTTTAGTCTTCAACGTAGCCTGAAATCTAGCTTTCTTATCATTTCCTAATGTAGTCTTCAGGGATAGGAGCACTGTACAAGGTGAAACATTGTATAATGCACTGTCAGTAACACTAATATACATTTTTATATTTAGATAATCAAATTATAATTTTTAATGTGTTGACTACTATACTACTAATCAAACTAAGAGGAATACTGTACTTTTTTCATGGAGTTGGGAAGAGTGGCGACATATTTTTATGGTTTGAAAAGTCTTTGTAATGTTTACAAACAAGAGATGTACAAGACAAATCATCAGCACGCTTGTACATCAGAAAATCATACTTGATAATGCACGCAAACCAACAACACTGAATTACCACCTCATTTACACAGGAAAAAACAACAAAAAACCTTTTTATTGATTATAACGAGCAATGTGAAAAATAAATGGTGGCTCTCTACAATCTTAATGTTTCTGCAGTGTTGAAGGTTATTTCAGAATATTGTGTTGTTTTAAAAGCAGCTTTAAACTGACCATCTTTAGGTTAATTAAATACTTTAACTAGACCTAGATAAGTTAAGTATTTTAATATTAACATTCTCTATGCTTTCAATGGGTAGAAAGTTAAGGTCGTCAAACTCAATCCCGGAAAAAGAGATGTTTCATAAATTTTGGTTTTCGTTTCTGTATTTTTTCAAAATTAGCCCAAAAGGTATAAACATGGGGAATCTTACCTGATCCTTCCTCTGTCACCATTCCCAGTCCCTCTGCTTTATTTTGCCTCTCAAATGCATTTAGATCCAGAACACTAAAACAAAGACAAATATAGTGTGAATCACTACATCCATCGCATTTCTGCTCTATTCATGTTTTTGTCTTGCCCTTGTTTGATGAGTGTTTTCCTTTTCCGTGGATTTATCCTATATGTGCAAGTCTCTGACCAGCAGTTTTATTCCATGTTTATGTTGAATATTGGTCTCTATTGTGGTTTTCAATGTTTTTATTTCATTGTTGTCTTGAATGCCCCATTGTCCATCTCCTTTATGTGTGTATGGTCTGTACATTTGCTCAGTCAGGCTGACATACACTCTTCCTAAATTGACATCTGGTTTATTTGAGTTGTTTGGTGGCTTTTTTTTTCTCTGCTACAACTGTGCCTTTTACTACCTTCCTAGGAATACTGTCAGCAAATAGAACCAAGTAAAACTTTTGCAGCCAAAATGACAACAACCTCAACATATAAACAATAATAATTTAAACCCTGCTAAAAGAGTTTGTACAGTTCGCCATTTCCTGAAAAACAAAAGTGCTGAGCACACAAAGTTGCCCGCTAGATCAGATTAATAACATTGCACAAAGTACAACCAAATTTGCAGAATGTGCTGGCAAATATAACAGAAATAATGATATGAAATATAACACACAACAGTACAAGAGAACACAATAACTAGAATTTAATACAATATGAATTACTGCACTACGGTAGAGTGAAGCATGTACTTGTAATGCAAAGGTAACTACTGTTTTGCTGGGCAGTCAGTCAAGATAAGTGTTTGGCAGAGTTCAGTTCTAGTATGGTTCTGGAACAGAAGCAGTTCATAAATCTGTTTGTTCATGATTACAGGGACCTGAATCGTCTGCCAAAGTGCAGTAACTTCAACAGGTAATGTGCAAAATGGAATCATGTTTTCTTCTCTGCTAAGGCAGTGAGAGCTGAAAGTTTCCCCAAAGAAGCGAGTTTAGAGTACAGCTAGTTTCTGGGAAGACTTTAAGATCCTCTGAAGGGATTTTCTGTCTGCCACTGAGCTGTCAGCACATCTTACAGAGATGCAGAATGGCAATGAAGGGGGAGTTTCTCAAGAAGTGTAATCTCTGCTGTGCCTTGATAAGTGCAGTCTCTGGACCAGGAGTGATTTTCTGAAGCTTGTATACCAAGAAACTCGAAGGCAGGAACCTTTGCCACACAGTCTCCATCAATGTGTATTGGGTTATGATATTTGTTGTGCCTCCAGTAATCTATCATGAGTTCTTTGGTTTTGGTAGAGCTAAGGGTTGTTCTCTGTATCCCATCCTGGGGCTTCATCTACAAAGGCTGTCACATCTTCTTCTGAGATGTGCCAACTACAGTCTTCTCATCATCAAACTTAGCTGTGGTGTGTGGAAAATTGATAGGGATGCAGAGGGTAGAGAGGATGTAAAAGGAGGTTCAACACACAGCTTAATAATGCTGGTGTTCAATGTGACAGTGAAAGAGAAGCAGGGGCCTAATCTAATCATCTGCATGCGATTAGTCAGAAGGTCACTGATCCTGTGGTAGACAGGTGTGAAAGTTGTAAGCCAGTAGGTTTGGTGACCAGATGGACAGTAGTGAAAGCTGAATCTAAGTTTACAAAGAGTATCCTTACATATCTTCACTACTGCTCAAGATGGCATAACGCAGTATACAAGGCAGTGGAGATGTCTTGGTGCATGGAAAACTACTTTTATCACATCTCTCTTTTTTTCACATAACACAACAAAGAGTTAGACCCTCTACATGATGACAACAAATACTTGCTTCAGCCCTGAAATAGGAAATCTTATTTATACCTGCATGACTGCATGAGACCAGCCAGACTCTGAAAGAAGCCCACGTCCTTCTTGTCCTTCAGATAATCTAACATTTTCTGTTAAAGATGACACAGTGAAAGCACAATAAGATACTGGAGTTTACTCAGATTTGACAAAAAACAGTCTACATCTGTCATTAAAATAAAAATACTGGTGGTGGTACCCCTCAGCCTCCTAGTAGATACACCTACAGTATGTATTTCAAAATCTTACATCCCCTTCTTCTCAAGTTATCGGATTCGCAAGGTTTTCCAAAAACCTGATCTCTGACTTCTAACTTTGAGGTCAAGGACACTGGGATTCCAACTTGTCCGAGATTTTTACTACTCCTATGTTATCAGTGTCAAAGTCCTGGATGACTTACTTCTCCAATTATCACATTCACAAGACTTTCAGAAAACTTGACCTCTAACCTTGACCTTCAGGTCAAGGTCAGTGAGGTTCAGACTCGTATGAGATTTTTAGTAGATCTGTGTGGAAGGGTGGGGTCTGTGGCTCAGTTGCAGGGGAGGGGTGGTGTAGTTGGTTTAGAGGGCAGTGCGACGGGAGACTGGCCAACAGAGTTGGAGATCATCAGGGAGGCCCAGATGGCAGCACTTAGCCTTCTGGTTGTAGCAAAAACTTACTTTCCTGATGTCCATTGAGTGATCCTAGATCTGCTTCACCACCCTAAGACCACTCCTGTTGGTTCTGGATGGAGCTGAGGAATTGGCCATTTGCTTATGCCAGGTGGCTCCATAAGGCGGTGGCCAGGTGCCTGCAGACTGGCCCAATGAAGGGGAAAGGCTGCTGTGAAATGCTAACATTGGAGAAGTTCACGAGGTGGCTCACAGTGGAAAAAGTGGAACGGGGTCCATTTTCATGTGATACTGGCTGAGGATCACCTGGTGCCGCAGGAGCTGGTGTGGCAGTCGCAGCTGGCAGCAAGTTGGCTTGTCCCGGCCCGGAGAAGGAAACCCCGCGAGGTCCCACTGTAGCCAGCAGCTGTAGTGCACTGGCTGCCAACATTTAATGGCACCAACATTTAATGGCACCAACATTTAATGGCACCAACATGTAATGACGCTTCTCCCTGTGTGGGTTCTCTTGCGTCCCTCAACGAGAGCAGCACATTTGTTGGGGCAGGAGTGCTGGAGTTGCGGCTGGAACATGTCCACTGGGAGTGCCCGCTTGATGGAGATGGGGCGAGTGTTCCATGTCACTGGCCCTCCAGCGACTTCCTCTGGTCCAGGAGTATACAGTACTCTAGTAAGGTGCCAAGTGCGTACAGACCGGGCTATGGTGGACTCGGGCTCCACGCAGGCACACCCAGTTGATGGTGCAGAAAAGCCATTAAGAAATGATCTTACAGGCAGCTCATTATAACCCAATTACTGGCCACATGCAATAAAAAAAGGGAACAAATCATGGCCTGTTTTTTTTTTTTTTTGGCCTTTGAAGGGATGTGCGCCTGTGGTGTGCATCCAGCCCAGGATGTTGTACTCATTACCACTAATGGAGGGTCCATTTAAGTGCACTGGCATGGATCTCATCTGGCCATTTCACCATAGTGCATGAGGGTATGACTTTGTATTACTTTTGGTGGATTATGCAACAGATATTCTGAAGTAGTGGCATCCTGGAAGAGACACTGACTGACCAGGGCTTCATGTCTTGTACACTAAAAGAACTGTTTAATTACTGTCCATCAAATATGTTTGGCCAAGCATCCATCACCCTCAGAATGACGGGTTGGTAGAGCGGTTGAACTAGACTGGAAAGTCTATAATTTTTAAGTGTATTCATTAGGATGAGCAAAGTAGAGATTGCAGGCTAGACTCTCATTTTTTTAGGGACTAGTAAAGCGCTATACAAATACAGGCCATTTACCAGGCCATTCACCTGTACAATTGGGGAGCTTGGCTGAGACAATTTTCACTGGGAGTTAAAGTACTTGTGTTGCTCCCTTTATCCATCTCAAAATTACCTGCCAAGCGGCAAGAACTATTGGTCACAGAGTGAGTGTGGGATGTTGACTATGAAAAGGTGCAGTCGGACAGGGTTGCAGGCTCTCCCCTGCATGGTCACACCACTCTCACAGAGTACCATTTTGAGATGTGCATTGGGGTTTCAGTGCATTCACACCCTTATAGATTGCCTAAGCAGAAAAGACAAATTACTCAGAAAGAATTGGCTGTTATCCTGGAGATAGGGGTGATAGAAGAGTCACAAAACATCTGGTGTAGCCCCATAGTTTTTGTGGTGTAGAAAGCTGGGTCTATATTGTTCTGCGTGGACTACCACAAGGTGAAGGAGGTGTCACAGTTTGACGCTTACCCCATGCCTCAGATACAAGCTTATGGATTGGTTAGGTACTGCTCGTTTTATCATTATGCTGGATTTAATCAAGAGCTACTGGCAGACTTGTCTCTGGACAAAAAAATGGCCTTCTCCAGTCCATACAGATTGTTCCAAATGGTCACACTTCCATTGGCTTGTTCAGAGCCCCAGCCACTTTCCAGCACTTCACAGACAGGATGCTGTGTCCACATGCTGCATACGCCACTGCCTAGCTGGATGATCATCCATGGATCCATGCACCATCCATGGTGACATCGAATCATATGCAGCAGGTGGCCTGCAGCCCTGGAGTCCCTGAGGCAGGCAGGGCACAAGGCCAACATGAAGAAGTGTGCGGTTGGACAAAGGGAGGTACAGTATCTGGGGTACCACCTGGGAGGCAGGCAGTTGCATTCTCAAATGGAGAAAACCACAACCACTGCAAGCTGCCCGCATCTCGGGGCCAAAAAGGAGGTGAAGTGGTTGCTGGGGCTGGCTGGTTACTATTGTTGGTTCATCTCAACATTTGCGGAGGTCACCAGTCCCTTGACTGATCTCCCCTAAAAGGGTGAACCAGATCTTGTCCAGTGGACGGAGCAGTGCCAGACAGTGTAAGGTAATGAAGACTTTTTCTTCCCTTGTGTTCTGCAGACTGACACGTTGAGCAGAGGGCTGGGGGCTGTTTCATCCCAGCAAGTAAGAGGGGTCGACCATCACGCTGTCTACATCAGTTGGAAACTCTCAGAACAAGAAACCAGGTAGAGCATGGCAGTGCCTGGCGATCCAGCGGGTGGTGGACTCTCTTCGTTATTACCTCCCTGTTCAGATCGTGCCCCGCTGCAGTGGCTCCACCACATGAAAGATGTCAATGCCTAGATCACCCAGTCATATCTGGCTTGCCAGCCTTATAAGTTCAAGGTGATCCACAGGCCAGGGCCCACATAGTCGGGGCTGATTTTCTCTCCAGGGGAATTTGTAGGGCCATGTGGTGGGCCGTGGACTGTGCCTCAGCTGCGGGGGAGGGGTGGTGCAGTGGGTTCAGGGAGCAGTGCCAGGACCTAGAGGAGGGACAGGAACTGAGAGCAGATGGCTGCGCTTGAGGAGGCACCTTCAGTAAGAAATCTGGTGATAACAACCCGGTAAGGCTAAATTGTAAATAAAGAACAGTGCATCTTAAAACACTGTGTCTTGCTGGGCAACATAACACAAAGGTGTGTTGCAGTATACCATAGTATCAATTTCAGCCCTTTTGCGCTGCATTCTCAAGATTTTCATAAAATTTGACCTCCGAACCCTGACCTTGAAGCCAAGGTTACTGAGATTTGAACTCATCTGATATCTTTAATAGATACACCCATGGTGTCAATTTCAAAATTCTATGTTGCATCGTTCTCAAGTTCATTCACAAACGTAGGTGTCCACATCGCCTGTCCACCCAGGGTGATGACAAAACCTTTTACAACTGAGAGGTAAAAATCTATGAGAAAAATTTTAAATTTCAGTGGAATAGATGCATTATATTTCACACTTGTACCAGTTACTTTGAATATGCTTTGTAAAAATAACATTTGAAAATAGATAATATAGCTATAATCCAGCAGTCAATATAAATAACAGTGAAGTAGCGAAGCATTACCTGCTGTACGGTTGAGTTCCCACCATTGAGAATAGCTATGCCCAGTTTCAGAGTAGATGCCACCATGGGACCCATCTCACCTGGAGGAGATGAACACCCACTCGAAATGACTCACTAGCATTTGTTAGCTTTTTAAATTTGTTTATAACAAAGAACAATTGAATTCTAACACAAACAAAAACTTTTATTATTTTACTAATATTTTTTTGCACAGCATATTTTTAAACCAGAATGTCAGAGAGGTATTAACACATCCTGATTATTATCGGTTACAGTTCACATATTGTTATAATGTGCGAAGTACAGAAAAAAATCAACTGAAAAATCGAGAAGGCTCCCAAACAGTCATATCCAGAACAAATTACTTTTAACACATCAATGAGTAAGCAGGCATAGGGATTGGACAGCCTGGTTCTATCACAAGGGCCGTAATATATTTGCCACCGCTGAGTTACAGTAAAGAGTAGGGGGCGATAGGCAAGACTTACCTTTACTAGCACTGATGGTTTGGAGCACCATCTCAGCAGCGCCACGGTCGTGCAGCCGAGCCTGCTGATACAACAGCTTCTGCTTCTCCATCTCTTTTTCCTTTGTTAGAAAGGTGACGCATATCATTGCAGACCATCTAAAAATGAAACTGCTAAAAACTAGAGACTAGTGGAAGATTCAAGACCGATTGATCACCTACTTCAAAACTCTTCACTTCTCCATCGTCATCCTCTTCATCATGGCAACTCTGAAGGAAGGGAGAAAGGTGAAAAAAAACATACAAACTACAGACTGTTTACTTAGGATAGATATAGCCACATCAGCGACGGGAAGTTCCAAAGCACTGAGGCATCAAACTGAGTGTTTTCAGTGTCACCATCTTTGTTTTTTTAAACCAGATGTTACGAATGATGGGGAGGGCCGGTATCTGCTTCTTTGTGCAAAGATGAACAGGATGAAACTTGCCAGAGTTCTACAAAATGACCTGCAGCAGGCCCATCCATCCATCCATCCATCCATCCATTTTGTTCCAATTATCTGGGGGCAGCAGCCTAAGCAGAGAAGCCCAGACCTCCCTCTCCCCAGCCACCTCCTCCAGCTTGTCCAGGGAAACACCAAGGTGTTCCCAGGCCAGCCGAGAGATATAATCTCTCTAGCGTGTCCTGGGTCTGCCCCGGGGCCTCCTCCCGGTGGGACATGCCCGGAAAACCTCACCCAGGAGGCGCCCAGGAGGCATCCTTGTCAGATTCCCTAACCACCTCAGCTGGCTCCTTTCGATGTGGAGGAGCAGCGGCTCTACTCTGAGCCCCTCCCAAATGGCCGAACTTCTCACCCTATCTCTAAGGGAGAGGCCAGCCACCCTTCGGAGGAAGCTCATTTCTGCCGCTTGTATTCGCAATCTCGTTCTTTCGGTCACTACCCACAGCTCGTGACTATAGGTGAGGGTAGATCGACCGGTAAATTGAGAGGCCACTGACATGAATGTCTCTGATCAACAATCAACAAACGACTTTATGATGGTGGCCTGGGGACATAGCTTCCTCTTGTCAACCCTCTGCTGACTGCCCAGCACTGTAGAGCCTGTCGGGCATTTGCCGTAGAATACCAGAATGGTCCACCACGGGTGCCCTATCCTTTTCACAGATGATAGCAGGTTCACCCTGAGCACATGTGACAGATGTGAAAGGGTCTAGAGAAGCTGTGGAGAACATTATGCCGCCCGTAACATCGTTCAGTATCACTGGTCTGGGGGAGGCATATCCATGGACAGACGCACAAACCTCTAACAGACTAGGTAATGGCACCCTGATTCCCATTAAGTAATGGGATGAAATCGTTGGACTCATTGTCAGACCCTATGGTGATGCATTGGATCCTGGGTTCCTCCTGGTGCCTGACAATGCCTGGCATGTTAAGTAAAGTAAAATAAACAATATAAAAAGAATCTTTGCCAGGCAAAGTGTGCATGATTGAGTCTCACATGCTTTAATTTTTTATTCGATGTGTAGGTGTTCACCACAAACAGGTTTTTTTTATTTTGGGGAACCTGGTTGGTCCTAAAGCTAAAGACACCATTCTTTGTGTTTATATATGTCATGATCCAGGTGAGTGTTCAGTGGTTTTCTGTCCTGGCCTTGCGCTCGGCATCTGCCTTTTGGGGTGGAGCCCTGGTTCAACACCTACACTTCTCCACGTGTTTTCCATCTGTGGCATTCAGTAAGACAGTATTTAAAACCAGTGTTGCCATCAGTTCTTCACCCCTTCGTTTCTTTGTTCATGCCAAGTACTTGATCTCTTTTGTGCCTTTAGCAATCTCGTCAAGTCACCACCTTACTCCTTCCTCTGGACGCTGGTCTCCACAGTCAAATCCCAGCTTCATTCTGCAACTTGCTTCTCTCGACTTAAATTACTCACTGCTCTCACCTGCCTGTCCTCCTGCCTGCTGCATCCTCTGGATTACTAGAATACAAGGTTGGAACCCAACTCACTCATTCAACACTCAGACGGCTACCCACCTCCAGAGCAACCCCTGCCACGTATTCATGTCTCACCATAGTTTATTCTGTGATTTCAATAAAACTTGTGAAATCTTATTTCCGCTCTGTATTGTGTCTGCACTTATGTTCACTCCCACGTACTAGTCTCCCGGCCTTGACAGCATAAAGTGTCTGAAGAAATATACCCAGCAGACCCAATTCAGACTGCAATCACTAAGCAGTGATATATTAACAGTATCCTAAACCAACAACAACTCTACCATCCAGAAGACTAGTTACTAGTAACTGCTAGTGCTACTGTTAACAGTGCAGCTGCTAACATTTGGCTAATTTGCCACAGTTTGGTGCATCTGTTTTTCATTTCTTTTTCCTCTCTTAGCTTTTCAGGCCACACTACACTATTCTACACTGAAGGTAGGGGAGGTGCCAGTTGCAATAAGTGATTTGATTAGGCAGTACAGCACCCTGCAAGTAATCCATCAGCCCAAAAGCATCAGCCCTGGTCTATGACATAAACAGCCCACAGAACAATAACCGGTTTTTTTCACCGTCTATGCTAAGCCAGCTATGTGAGTCTCAATTCAAAAGTGTTGGTACTCAGCAACAGATACCTTAGCCATGATGTCTGCGTAGGCCATGTAGAGATTATCCTCATCCAGTTTACTGCAAAAACAAACACATTCACAAAAGTTAGCACAATTATAGCTGTATTAAGGAAAATTATTTTGGTGCACCACGGACTGAAATGACATCTTCTCATTTAATAGTTTTTCATTATTTTTATGAATATTTACATGTTTTACGTTTCAGATACTTTAAAACAGAGGTGTGGACTCGAGTCAGACTCGAGTCATTAATTTTATGACTTTAGACTTGACTTGAAAAAATGTTTCCGAAGTAACAAAGACGCGACGGATGGCCTGGATTGCAGCCATTCAAAGATCAAATATAACGTCCCAGAACACTCCAGCTCACAGGTTAGTCTGCTCCAAGCATTTACACAAGGTCAGTGTTTTGTAGTAGTTAATACGTCATTTTTCATAACATAATTGGTGATATAGGTTACAAGCAAGTCTGGCGCTGAACAGAAATTGTCGCGCTATGCTCCTTTGTTTATTGTGCATAAATAGTGAATTGTCCTGACACAATATTGGTTTCGCTTCTGTTATTATGGTACATTGACAAAAACATATACTTTTATTCACAGGATAAAACAGTTGTTTTGTATCACTAATTGCCCAGTACGATTACAGCATACAATATTATTGTCACTGCTACATTTCTGTAAGCTACCAGAAATTATTTCCACTACTAATTAATTACCGTTGAGCTCAAAGGTCTATTAATAAACGGTTAACGAATGTGTATTTATGAAGACGATTTGTGAGACTGGTAAACTTATGATAGGTACGATGGTCTTTCTTCTACACGGTGCATTTCAAGGTCCTGACCCATCCGTCGGTAAACTGTACCTGGGCTTGTTGCAGTGACCTGAAGTTACTAAACTTCAGAGTGTATGCACTCACTCCAAGAACCGTATAATTATAAATATGCATATAAATATGCTACGATGAGATAGCTGACTTCATCTAACTAGCAAATGTTGTCCAGGCTACGTTGGTGATGCAGTTTTTTTTAATGTGTATGATATTTTTGTCATGCGATTTTAAAGCCGGTCCTACAACCGCATCCAAGAATAACATGCAGCTTATCTCAGAACTGTCGGTGAAAATTATTCTTGGAGCTAGGTTTAATTGAGCTGCATTTTAAAGAGGTGCAATTTCACAATTTGTGTATATTTTCTAAGTTCACTATTTTGTCATGTGTTGAGAAAAACACAGATTTAAAAATTACATGGTCTAATATTTACATTTAGCATAACTGCAACATGCTTTTTTTCGTTTTTTTTTTAAAGACTCGAAAGGACTTGAAATTCAAAATTTCAGACTTGTGACTTTACTCGGACTTTTACACCAGTGACTTGAGACTCGACTCTGACTTGCCTGACATTACTTGAGACTTGACTTGAGACTTGAGGATAAAGACTTGAGACTTACTTGAGACTTGCAAAACAATGACTTGGTCCCACCTCTGCTTTAAAATATCTACCCTTTGCTTTGATTACTGCTTTGCACACCCTCGGCACTCTCTCTCTGAGCTTCATGAGGTCGTCACCAGAAATGGTTTTCCAAAAGTCTTGGAGTTCCCAGAGATGCTGAGCACCTGTTGGTCCTTTTGCCTTCACTCTGCGCTCCATCTCATCCCAAACCGTCTCCATTGGGTTTAGGTCACTGTGACTGTGGAGGCCAGGCTGTCTGGTGCAGCACTCCATCACTCTCCTTCTTGGTCAAACAGCCCTCACACAGCCTGGAGGTGTGTTTGGGCTCATTGTGCTGTTGGAAAATAAATGATGGTCCAACTAAACACAAACTGGATGAGGTGGCATGTCGCTGCAGGATGCTGTGGCAGCCATGCTGGTTCAGTGTGCCTTCAATTTTGAAAAAAATCCCAGCAATGGTGTCACCACCAAAGCACTTTCACACCTCCTCCTCCATGCTTCACAGTGGGAACCATGCATGTGGAGACCATCCGTTCACCTTCATGAGTGTCATACAAAGACACGGTGGGTGGAATCAAAGATCTCAGATTTGGACTCATCAGACCACAGCACAGATTTCCACTGGTCTGATGTCCATCCTTCTGTTTCTTGGATCAAACAAATCTCTTCTGCTTGTTGCTTTTCCTTAGTCGTGGTTTCTTAGCAGCTGATTGACCATAAAGGCCTGATTCACACAGTCTCCTCTGAGATGTGTCTGCTACTGGAGCTCTGTGTGGCATCTATCTGGGCTCTAATCTGAGCTGCTGTTAACTTGTGATTTCTGAGCCTGGGGACTCGGATGAATGTATCCTCAGCCGACTCTTGGTCTTCCTTTCCTGGGCTGGTCCAGTTTTGTCATAGCATTTTTTTGTGACTGCACTTGGGGACTGCACTCAGAAACCTGTCCTCTGATCCAGTCGTGTCTTTGGGTCTGCAGACCTCTTCCTGTCACAGTTTGTTTCTCAGTGCGTTTGATGGTGAAGGAAACTGTACTCACTGACACTTTGACTTTCTTTGTCAGGACAGACCCACATTTTTAAGTGTTATGATGGTCTCTCTCTCTTCCACTGTTAATGGTCTTTTTCTCACCATTTTTGTAGCAACACACTACTTTCTGCAGTACAGTACAGTTCAGCTGATGCTCACTAGGGTATGGCACCACAGTGTGTTCAACACTGCTTTATGCAGACAGAGGGGGTTGGAAGTAATCCAAGTTGGAACACCTGTAGGAATTAGTAGCACCAGCTTTCAAGGCTTGATCAACCTTCACTGCTGCAGAACAGCTTTGAATTGTTAACCCATGTTGTGTCCTTGAAAAAGGCCTTTTGGTATAATTTTGAAATGTACATTATTTTTCAGTTTTGGGTAATCTAACCTCTGGCAGCTCAACACTTACCTTTGTGAAATTTCAAGCTATTCATTGGACTTTAATGACTTGAACTGCAACAAATAACTGGAAAAATAGGGACTTTTAACAGGTAGTGTGTAAAATACACACCATTTTTCTGTTAGGGCTGTTCTGCTGAACAGCTGGATGAGCTGATGCAGGGGATCTATGTGTTTGTGTTTCTGCCCCTCCTCTTCCTCAGATGGCTCCTGTTCACCTGGTTTCTGAAATCAACACACATTCACAAAGTGCTAAAACTCTGCTATACACTGAAGAAATTGACACACAATTTGCCTTCAAAACAAGTACAAATTCCAGAGTAGTCAGAATAATTCCACTTGTTTTGTTTTTTTAAATGAAATTAACTTACAGCGAGGTCTTCTATGAGTTTATCTTCAAAGTAGTGCTCCTCTGTCTCGATCCAGGACTTTTCATAGCCCTGCAGGAACAAGTTTACAGCCCGGTGCCTAGTATGAGAGAGATACATGGATGACTAATAAATGTTTATCTACCCATCTTCTGCTGCTTATAAAGGGCTGCACTGTAGGTGCAACATATATCCACAATCTTTCCTCACTAGCCCGAGGTGTGGCTGTAGATGAGGGTGGGAAAATAATAAAGTGCACAATTTTAAATATTTCTTCTTCATTTTACGTGTGTGTGTGTGTGTGTGTGTGTGTGTGTGTGTGTGTGTGTGTGTGTGTGTGCGTGTGTGTGTACCTTGGCAAGTTATAGAGTGGTGCCATCCTGAAGCAAGCGACCACAGCTCTCTTCCTCTGTTTTGAAAGCAGTTTGTGCCACACAGCCTTCTTACTGCGCTGAGGATGCTCCACCTGAAGACACAAACTGAACCACTCAGTAAACTGGATATTTAGTTGGTGTACCTTACCATCTGGAAGCCATATTATCCTGGAGAAGTATGTGGTCAGCTTTAATAAAGACCAATCAGCTAGTTTAAGAGGACCGTGGAGTACCTTAAAGCTATACTCTCTACGTAGGCACAAAAATGCGCAAAATCAACTCAAACTTGAATATATAGACCTGCTCCAGGTGGAAGAGGACATGGCCAATATCCAGGATTCTCTCCACAGTCTTCTCTGGGTCAGTAGTATCCTCATAGTGGTTTGGGAGGTCTCTGTACAGGGCCATCTGCCAACGAATTGCTGGGTCCTCTGACTTTGTAAGACACACAGAGCAAATGCATGACGCTATTGGCCTATTCACAAGGTTAAGCACCTTTGTGAATATATAAATATATAGTACGAACCAACATCTAGCAACTCGTTTACATCTCTCTCGACTTTAACAAAACAAAAGCCAAAACACAGAGACAGCGCATGTAAAGCTCATGATTCAGTAGCTTGTATAACTACCTTGCTGGCAATAACTTGAATTGGTTGGGTTTTTTTTGTATGACTTCATAAGTCTTTAAAATCAGTGTGGAAGAATTTTGGCCCACCCTTGTTTATAACGTTGCTTCAGTTGATTTAGGTTTGAAGCCATTCATTTACGCACAGCACTCTTAAGGTCCTGCTACGTTCAGTATTTCAGTCACTCTAGATTGCTCTATAACTTCAGATTCAGTTCTTTTTCTGCTGGTGTGTTTGGGATCATTGTCCTGTTTCCTGACCCAGTGTGGGTGAAGCTTTAGCTGTCAAGCAGATGGCTTCTCATATGACTCTGGAATATACAGTGTATCAAAAATAAATCATACACTTTCACAAGGCTGTAGTTTAAGCTTACACTAAATTTAAAATACATGGCTGAATATAAAGTTTTACATACAAAATGTTCAATGTTTATGAATAATCAATGAAATACTTCATCCCATAGTTCACTGTAGTCACTGCAGCCACTGCTGTTGTTCCCGGTGAATGGCTGCAGAATTAAAGCACTTTGAAATTGAATGATTCTTTCTGATACAGCCTGAACTCTCCTGATGTTAGTGGGATAGGGGCTATGTGGAGTGATAGAGTTCCTTCAATCACTTGTTGTCAGATTGAATTTCCTATTCTATATCTTTTGGATAACCTATGATATCACTGTGAAGTAGCCTTATTTATCTTATGGACATAAAGGTTCATTAGTTCATCTAGGTTACTCTAGATTTGTGTGGAATTTAAACTGAATCTGAATACTTGACTCTAAATTTTATGACACCGACCATCAAAATCAAATCACTTCATCCTGTCAAAGTAGATGTTTGTGCCAGATTTGAAGAATTACTCTTAAACCAGTCCTTTGATATTACTTCCACAAGAATAAGATAAACTGACAACAACCTGACACCATGGCAAAATCGAAGACCAGAGGCATAATGTGTAAGTACACTTTAAGTAACTTGTGTCAGTCACAAGCCTGATTCTTTTCTTACCTTTCCTTGTAAATGTAGGTTGTTCCTGATGACCTCTCGAACTTCGTCCTCTGTGTCTTTCTGCAAAAGAATTATTAACTTCGATCAAACAACAGGTATTCTGTGACCTACAAAATGCTATAAAAGATATTTATTCAGTAAATTAGCCTTCATGCAAAATTTTACTTTTTAGCTGAAAAAGCTAACGCAGACTTATTTTGCTGTTACTAAAGGTTTACCTCAGGAATACCAATACTGCAAATAATTTATTGTTATTGTCATACGCCTCACCCCAACCAGTCATGGTAGATAGGCGCACCTCCCTGAGCTTGGTCCTGCCAAAGGTTTTTCCTTCCCACTGGCACCAAAGCGCTTGTTTAAAGGGGGGTCGTATGATTGTTGGGGTTTTATCTGTTTTCTTTGTATTATTGTAGGGTCATTACAGTATAAAGTGCCTTTAGGCAGTCATTGTGATTTGGTGCTACATAAATAAAATTGAAATGAAATGAACTAAATTGAATTGAAATACACAGAAACAGTTAAATGAATCATATCTATTTTTATAATGAAACAGTTCTTTCTGTAATCTACTAGCACTACTATGCTACCTGAGTGAAGCGGTTCTTAGCCAGTGCGATAAGCTCTTGTTCTCCTGGAGCACAAATGTTGAGTCCCACGGGCAGCAGGCGCTTTAGAGTAGCAACAATCAAACTTGTCTGCATCGAGTATCGATCACCTTTTCTCTTCATCTTCTTCCTCTCCTGGTCTGAAACTATTCCCTGTGGCAAAGTCAAACATTAAACAGCCATCGCTTTACACTGTTAGACCTATTAAATAGTTTTAATTAATCAATTTAATTTAATTTAAAAATAAGGTCACTGGTATGCACGTCCTCAAATGTGTCCAGCATCTATGTGTCTGTACCTTTGACATCTTGCACTTGGTGTCAGTGATAAGGAAGGACATGTTGTTAATTTCATTCTGGACCACAAAGTTCTGCTCTTCTCTCTTGAAGTTCTGTAGACAGAAAACAGGACTTTCTTAAATTAAAGCACAGTTGTATTATGTGTTGTACTGTCTTTGAAAAGAAGGCAACTGGACAATATTTTTGGTTTGTAAAGACATTTTACTTCTCAGTAAGAGGCTTCTTCAGTTCTAAAACAACTGATGAGAGTCCCAGGTATTTAATACCTATTGGCATTGTGGTCCTGGGGTCAGTGACCCACTGCTAACCATGTGAGTCACCTTGAGTCAAGGTATGAAAAAATTCATGGGTCTAACAAGGTATTCGTGGGTGTGAATACTGTGAGATTATTATGCTATCATATGTTATCCTATGGCTGTAATCGAAATGAGTGAATCATGATACTGCTGTAAGCCACACCATACTTCTTATTATAGAGAGTATAATCAGTATGTAGTTTTCGTTTGCATTATACTTCTGAATTAAAAGAATGTGAAAATCATTAGATTTGTTAGATAGGTTCGTATTATCCTATCCTGTGATTTACTGTGAATGAGTTACACTGTTTTATGACATTTCATACTGCTGAGTTAAGAAGAGAATATTGTGTGCAGAGAGCACAGAGCACATTCAGCTCCACCCCCACCTTTGTTGGAAGCAGAAAAACAGGGAGCCAAGGTCATAACTCAGGCTCACTGAGAGTTAGAAAGTATGTATGTTTAGGTTTTTACGACTAGGTGGGGGCCACCAGAGGCTATAAGAGTTTGAGTAACGCTCCATCATTTTGAGATTTTGCTGTGACCCTCTTCATGCATGTCTCCCCATCCGGATGGTTTATGCTCATAAAGTGTTGAATTGTATGGAATAAAAGATTGTTGATTGAGCATTGATACACCGAGTATAGTCTTTCCTTCAGCCCAAAGATCAAAAGAAAAAACCCCACCATGTGAGCTATGCTTGCAACTTGCAGACAGCAACATTTATATATTTAATTACATGAAGGGCATTTTCCATCCTTGTTTTCAAATGAGCTCCTGTCATTGATGACACACTTCCTAATTTATAATGTGAATCTACTGATGTCAGATGCCAGCAGCAGTAATATAGTGCATTATATAGCTTTCTATCCAGTGAATTAGCATAGAAGTAGCTTTGATGGTGTTTTTCCTGGAAACTTTAATAAAAGTATAAAATCACTGCTAAATGCTTTAGTCTAACAATAAGTTAGGTTAAGCTTTTAACTCATTACTCATCTTTTCAGGTAAACTCTCCATTAGTTGTTTTTAAACTGAAGAACACATAGATCACGATTGATGGTGTACAGTTAAGCATCTTTTGTCATTTTTCTCCACCAAACTGGATTTTACAGTCAAGATCTAATTGAAGTGACGACTTTCAGCTTTAATCCATCCATCCATCTTCATCCGCTTTATCCGAGGCCGGGTCGCGGGGGCAGCAGCCTAAGCAGAGAAGCCCAGATCTCCCTCTCCCCAGCCACCTCCTCCAGCTTATCCGGGGGAACACCAAGGCGTTCCCAGGCCAGCTGAGAGATATAATCTCTCCAGCGTGTCCTGGGTCTGCCCCGGGGCCTCCTCCCGCTGGGACATGCCCAGAACACCTCACGCAGGAGGCGCCCAGGGGGCATCCTTGTCAGATGCCCGAACCACCTCAGCTGGCTCCTTTCGATGTGGAGCAGCAGCTGCTCTACTCTGAGCCCCTCCCGGATGGCCGAACTTCTCACCCTATCTCTAAGGGAGAGGCCAGCCACCCTTTGGAGGAAGGTCATTTCCGCCGCTTGTATCCGCGATCTCGTTCTTTCGGTCACTACCCACAGCTCGTGGCCATAGGTGAGGGTAGGGACGTGGATCGACCGGTAAATTGAGAGCTTCGCTTTTACACTCAGCTCCCTCTTCACCACGACGGACCAGTGCAGCGTCCGCATTACTGCAGCCGCCACACCAATCCGTCTGTCGATCTCCGGTTTCCTTCTCCCATCACTCGTGAACAAGACCCCGAGATACTTGAACTCCTCCACTTGGGGCAGGAACTCATCCCCGACCCGGAGTGGGCACTCCACCCTTTTCCGGCTGAGAACCATGGCCTCAGATTTGGAGGTGCTGATCCTCATTCCCGCTGCTTCACACTCGGCTGCGAACCGTTCTAGTGCGAGCTGGAGGCCCTCACCCGATGAAGCCAACAGAACCACATCATCCGTGAAAAGCAGAGATGAGATTCTGAGGCCACCGAGCCTTAGCTTTAATTCAATGGTTAATCAAATTATTGCAAATTAATACACATTTTTAGGAATTACATCAAATTTGATCCACTAGTCCTAATTTTCAGAGACTCAAAAGTAATGGGACAACTGACTGATACACTGATTTAAGGTAAGGATCACCTGTTTTGATTTCTCAAATGCATTTAACATCATCCAGCCACTCCTATTGAGGGCGAAACTACAGGAAATGTCAGTAAACATGTCCTCATGGATTACTGAACACCTCACAGACAGGCCACAGTATGTGAGACTGGCAGTGCTCAGTCTAATATGGTGTTGTGCAGTGCAGGAGCTCCGCAAGGAATTATGCTGCCAACATTCCTGCTCACCTTGTATACCTCGGACTTTCAGTACAACTCCGGGTCATACAGTCATCATAAATATTCGGATAATTGCTGTTGGCAGGAGGAGGCGCACAGAACACATATATATAATTTGTAGAATCTTGAAGAAATCTTCTACTTCTGATTGTAAATAATACTAAAGAGATCAGAGTCATTGGCTTCAGAAGGTACAGCTGAATAAGTCTAGTACTGTACTGCATTTTGTTAGATTGTGCTGTATTATATTGATCCATTATCCATGGTACTGTATTCTATTGTACTGGGCTATACTGTATTGTATAATAGAAAGCACTTTGAGTGCTGAACTGAGTAGAAAGGAACTAAACAAGTATCACACCATTGAAAATAACTATTTATTGTACTGTAGTGTTTTGCATTGTACTGTACTGTATTTAAGGTTTCATCAAAATGTGCCTGAAGTTTACATGTGATAAATAAGCAAATGAAAAAAGGTATGTTGGTCACTTTAATTGGCCGCCTGTTTGGCCACAGTATCCATGATGCCATCTTTGTCCACCATAGTCAGAAGTCCACTTTCATCAAAGTGCTCATGGGTAGCTTATCTGCAATCAGTATATTCACCTAAACGTTTCACATTATAACAAACCTCCTGTCCACGAGTCAACATGTAGAAAAATAATTCCTCTTACATTTGCATCGACCGTTATGGTTTACTGCGCAGCTTTACTAAGAAAAAGCCAAAGCAAAGACTGCTATCTTAGTTTTCTTCAGTTTTGACAGATTGTGGTAAATGCTTAACTGCAATGTCAATAGACAGATAGCTGCTCTTCTCTTCTGTTTAATCTTGAAAATGTAATATTAGTTATTTCAGGTTTAATAAATCAGCGATATAAAGATCAATCCCAGCTGACCCTCTTAGGGACATTTTCAGTTATGTTTTTATGGGCAGCCCGGTGGTTAGCACTGTTGCCTTCCTATGTTTGCATACTCTGGTTTCCTCCCATAGTACAAAGACATGCAGTTAGTGGGTTTAAGTTACCTGGTGATTCTAAACTGCTCACAGGTGTGAATGTGAGTGTGAATGATTGTCTACTCGCTGTGTTAGCCCTGTGTCAGATTGGCACCCTATGGCAAGGGTGTCCAACTCCAGGCCTAGAGGGCCGGTGTCCTGCAGCTTTTAGATGTGTCCGTGATCCAACACAGCTGGTTTAAATGCCTAAATGACCTCCTCAACATGTATTGAAGTTCTCCAGAGTCCCAGCAATGAACTAGTGAGCTGATTCAGGTGTGTTGGCCCAGGTCCCCAAACCTGCCCTATGGGATGGATAGTTATGTTGCAGTAATTTTCTTACGTGAGACTTGGCCCAGAAGATAAAAACCTCAGCCACCATTCGGAACAGCTCCTCTGCCTCTGGATTGGACTCTTTAAGCCATCTGGCCCTGTCAGTATATCAAAACAGTTAGTGACATGCTGAAACCAATCATTCTTTTTCCAAAACTGCAGCTTCGTCTTAGTGACTAAGCTTCTGTATCAGATGGTCTAAATTCACTCCACTCAATGAGCTGAAGGTCACTTGTTCAGTCACAACACTGTACCTGTTGTAGTCAACGAATCGTATGAGGAGAGGGTAGAAGGCATACAGGTCTCTGACCAGGATAGTAAATTGGTCCATGATGAGGAGCTCTGTCTCTGACATCTCACCCCTCCCCTCCGCCTTGCTATGTTCTTCATCCAGCAGCACAACAGCTGCTTTCTAAAGAATACAGTAATAGATTTTTCTATATTAAGCAGCACTGTGTGCTTTAATCTTTGTGACTATTTTATTAAGTAGTAGGAGTGTTCGCATAGTGCACTTTCTCCATTTTAAAAACATACTAACAGATATTTAGTTAAGAAATATATATAGGTAATTCAATTTCATTTAAAAACATCAAAAAAAATTACAAGAAAGTGTTAGAAAGGACAAGCCGTGAGTGTGACCTAGTTTTATATTCTGTTAAATGAGTTGCACCACTTCCAGGCAGTAGATTATAATAAAGGTGAGACTTACTTTTTTGAGTTTCTCCATCAAGGGCAAGAAGTGGGTCTTTAACAGCTGAGGTTTGGCTTTGCTGATAATTGGCTGGGAGAAGACTTGGGGACATGAACAGAGATGGTGTTAAAACGCAAAATGTGAACGTATGTACATTTGAATATCATATAATGATTAGCAGCAGGCAAAAAGAATTAAACTAACATCAGTTTGAGGATGCTTATGTAAACTGATCCTGAGGAGAGCTTTTATTTATTAACTTTACAAAAAGTGCAGAAAATGGAAAATGAGAGAAAATGAAACACCCTCTTGCGTGAAATGTAACTTCCATTGTGTCCTCCTCTTAACACAATTACAAGAACTGCTGTTACTGACTATATTTTCTTTTTAAAAGAGGAAACCTAAATTGCAAAACACTTAAGGGGCTCATTACACAAATTCTTTTCTTTTACAATAATTGTTTCCTCCAGTGCTGTAGTGTTTTATCAAACAATTAAATGGCAATCCCCAGCATTTGGAGCACCCTCTAATGAGGTGTGTGCATTGGTTTAAAAAATGTGAAAAAACAAACAAACAAACAAACAAACATACCTCGGCCTGCACACCTAAAACAATGAACACTTCGCCAAACCTAACTAACCTGCCTCCACAAACCAGATTTCATGTCTCATGTCATATTGTTTTATTTTTGCCTTGTGCATCACTGTGAGCTGCAAGTATTATGTTCCATTAGCAAATAAACTATCCATCCATCCATCTATCGATCTTCTCCCGGCTACTTGGGGCCGGGTTGTGGGGCAGCAGCCTAAGACCTCCCTCTCCCCAGCCACCTCCTCCAGCTTGTCCGGGGAAACACAAGGCGTTCCCAGGCCAGCCGAGAGATAAACTCTCTTCACCATGTCCTGGTTCTGCCCCGGGGCCTCCTTTCAGTGGGACATGCCCAGAATACCTCACGCAGGAGGTACCCATCCTTGTCAGATGCACAACCACCTCAACTGTCTCCTTTTGATGTGGAGAAATAGCGGCTCTACTCTGAGCCGCTCCGAAAAGCCTGAATTCCTCTCTAAGGGAGATGCAAGCCACCCTTCAGACAAAGCTCATTCCCACCACTTGCATCTGCAATCTCGTTCCTTCTAAAATCAAGAGCTTCGCTTTTACGTTTAGCTCTCTTTCTACCAATACAGCATCCACATCCCTGCAGCTGCAGCACAAGTTTCACTGTGATGTTTCATTCTCTTTGCAGAGCTTTAAAGTATATCACTCCCCTGAATGAAAAGAAAAGAAAAACAAAAGAAGAGCTACTAGTTTTAGATTTATGTTGCAGTCACTAGTCAGTTTTAACTCCAACATACACTAAATTGCCAAAAGTATTCAATCTTCCCTCCAAGTCATTGAATTCAGGTGTATACCAATCAAGCAGCTAGGCATGCAGACTGCTTCTACAAACACTGGGTCGATCTTAGGAGTTTAATGAAGTCCAGCATCATACTGTGATACTGTTCAACAAGTCCACTCATGAAATTCTCTCTCTTCAACTCTACCACAAAGTGGCTGGACATATAAAGTCACAGTATCGGTCAATCGCTACAGACCTCTAGTCTTCATGTTCAAGAACATTTTAAGGAACAGTGCCTAGAGAGCTTCATGGAATAGTTTCCATGGCTGAGCATCTGCATCCCAGTCTTACATCACCAAGCACAATGCAAAGTGTCAGACTAGTATATCACCGATTAAACTTTAGAGGAGTGGAGACGTGTTGCTGGAGTGATGAATCACATCTCTCTGGCAATGCAATTGTTGAGTCCGTACTTGTCTGACTGCACTGTGGCAAGTATAAAGTTTGGTGGAGGGGGAGGATTATATTGTGGGGTTGTTTTTCAGTTGGGTTCGGCTGTTAATACTTCAGCATATTAAGACATATTGGACAATTTCATGCTCCCATCTTTGGAGACGGCCCCTGTCCAACGTGACCCCACATCAGTGCACAAAGCCAGGCTCATAAAAACATGGATGAGCGAGTTTGATGAATCTTGTGAATCAGTGAATTTTATTTTAGTGTTCAGCATTAGTGAGTTAACATTTACCAGCCAGTCTCTTCATCCAGGCGCCCTCATCTATTCCCAGGTTGTTGTAGATGATCTTGAGAATGTTTCCCAGCAGAGTATTCATGTATTCAGAGGTCACAGAGGTGCAGCAGTTGTTGGCTTTGTCTGGGTCGCTTTCCGGTCCATGTTCCCACCAGTGAGACATGTAGCTGCACAACATCGGCAAGACCACCTACAGCAGTAGAAACAAAGCAAAAATAATGAGCTTTGCACAGCTTCACAGTCAGATGGGTTTAATCAGCAATGTCTTTTTTTACCCATCTTCGGCTCTGAAGTGTTCACTACAGGACAAATGTCCACTTATTTTGGTTCCGTGGCCAATTTTTTGATGACATGAAGCAACTTAAGGAAAGAATATCAAAGGTGATACTGTAGTTATTAATTATTAGAGAGTTACCTCCATAACATGAGGCATCTGCGTGTACTTCATGCCGGACTCTGCTAGCTCTACAATCTCCTCCAAAGACTTCTCCAAATTGGGGATCAGTGAACAAACCTCCCCAACCTGCCCAGGAAGGCCTAGAGCTGAGAGGCGGAAAGAGTAGTGGAATGAAAGCAGATTAAATTAAACATAATGTGATTTGATTTGTGATTTTTGACACTGATGAGTTCTCAGACCACACAGCCATCGTTTAGCTTTGGATTAATGTTTTTTTATTTGAAATACACAACTGGAGAATCTGTTAGTCAGACAAATGTAGGACAGACAGCTGCAAAAGTATTCAAACCACTTTGTGGTACTTCCTGTTATAGTAGGTGTCTCCAAGAGATACAAACACCATGTATATACTGCACACTCCAGTTTTTTCATAGTTTACTAAGACACTTCTTGAAACCTTCCTCCCTTTCCTCAATCAACCCAGACATGTTTTATGTAATGTTTTGGTTTTACCAAAGAGTTAACGTGTAAACAGTTAAGAGTGACATGACGGCAGGGTCACAACAAACATTTCTGTTTGTTTCTGAGATGTACAGTAAAAGCTAGTTGGTGCGATATGTAGTGTAATGTGTATTCATGGTTCCAGTTTTAGTAAAATATAAAGGCTCAAAGAAACATGCTCAGTGCTCGCTGAAACGTCACTCTAAGAAAGTACAGCTACCTCCGGATTTGTATGTTCCATCATTTTCTTTATGTACATGTCTCACCTGCTCTGTCTTTGCTTCCTTTGCTGTTATAGATGGAAAAGCTGTTAAACTTGTTCATGTGAGGCTCAAGAAAGGCAACAGGGAATGCTGCTGCGAAGGCTGCTAAACACTTTCCCATTGCTGGACGTTGTCTGGAAAAGAAACAGAGAGCTCATGATAATAGTCAAAAACAATTCTTTTACTACCTCAGTGATTGATTTAAAACATAGTAGGTTATCTAAAGCAATTTTTTTCTTTCTTTTTTTTGCTTAAGACTGAATAGGGCTGGCTATAAACTGGGACCTGTCAAGTCTGGTGGGCTAGATTAGTTGTTTTGTATATAGATGGCCAAATGAAGCTTTCTGAAGCTCGTATTGAAAAACGGTTCATTACTCTAAGCCTGTCAACACAGTCCTCTTTGGTGACATCTGGTGGCCAAAAATATAGAGCAGCTTGACTCCACAACTCATAAAGGACAGCTTCATCATGATTCAACTGACAGCTTCTGTTTAATTTCATGTGGCAGTTCTGTCTGATATCAAGCTGATATTGTGCTTTGAACATGTGTTTTTTGGGGGGTGAAAAAATGATGTTCGTATGTCTCTCTTAATAATAAATCATTCCTATGAATACACCTTCCTTCTTTAAACATGGAGTGTTCTCCTTATGCTTGTGACTTCTTGATGTTTAAAAATACACTAAAACAGAAACTTATAAGAATATGTTTCTACTGTGAGGTCCCTGCCTCCACCTGATTATGTAATTAACCAACACACAGGTAGGATTATATATAATATACTATAACTTCTATAATTATACAGTAAGTATACAGGGAGTGCAGAATTATTAGGCAAATGAGGATTTTGTCCACATCATCCTCTTCATGCATGTTGTCTTACTCCAAGCTGTATAGGCTCGAAAGCCTACTACCAATTAAGCATATTAGGTGATGTGC